ATGTGACCTATAAGGGAAGACTGAAAGAACTGTGTTTGTTCAGCTTGGAAAAGAGAAGACTGAGAAGGGACATGATAGCTTTCAAGTACTTAAAAGGTTATTACAAGGAGTAGGGAGAAAAATTATTCTGCTTGACCGCCGAGGATAGGAAAAGAAGCAACGGGTTTAAATTGCAGCAAGGAAGGTTTAGGTTTGGCATTAGGAAAAACTTCCCAACAGTAAAGGTGGTTAAGCACTTGAATACATTGCTTAGGGAAGTTGTGGAATCTCCATCATTGGATATATTTAAGAGCAGGTTAGACAGACATCTCTCAGGGATGATCTAGATCAGGGGTCCGCAACCTTTTCAAACCAAAGAGCCAAACTACATCAAAATTCAGAACAAGTGGTCAAAGAGCCAGTATAAGAATGCCCAATTGCATGACTGAAAATACACAAGTTAGTATTACTAATTGACATGATTAATAATAGCACAAATGAAACATTGCATTCAAGGACTTTAATGGGACTTCTGCTGCTTCATCTTTTCACACATTTCTCTGAAGTGTACATCATAACCGGTTAAATTCTGCTTCATGCAAGTATGCAGTTTGTCTTCTGTCAATCTTGAGTGCAAATGACCTTTGATGCGATTCAAATGGGAGAAAGACTGCTCACACATATAGGTGGAGCCAATCATTGAAAGTAAGGCCACGATGACATTCTGCATGGTGTTGTATATGACAGGAAGTTCTTTTCAAATTGGCAGAATCAGATTATCATCACACTCCAATTTCTTCATGTCAGTCCATTGGTGCAGTTTTGCCAATTCTGCACGTTGTCGCGCAAGGCATTCTAAAACAGAATTCATCTTGGTGAATTTTTCCACCCAGATATCTGACTCCTTGAAATCTGCTATTTCCATTTTCAAATCACTGAGTTCTTCAAATCCAGTTCAACGGACGCTTTATGTGGACAAATCATAAACTTAAACAGAGCACTGTTTGCAAAAGTCAACAAAACAAGACCTGAATGCCATCAGGAGCTCAGAAACAAACCCAACAAACTGCTGCAAATGAAGTCTGTTACTTGGATTCTCTCTCCGATACGAATCACGAAACAGTCGTAATTTTTCAAAATGTGCCAGTCTTCCTGTCTCGATATCTTTGAAGAAGACAATCAGTTTTGACTCAAATCCAAACACTGTCAGCTGCAGAGGCAGGTCTGTATTTCCTTGTCCTTGTAGCTTAAGATTTAACTCACCCGTAATGTCTCAGTTAGTAAAACTTGAGCACCCACAGTCTGAAAGCTCGGTATGTTTGTCATTTTTGGATATGAAGGGTGTCAATCTCATTAATGCAGGTGGCAAAACGAGACAAAACTTTGCCACAAGATAACCCGAGAACATTGTGTATTAGTAGATCGGGGTATTTGGAATCTACTTGCTCAAGCAGTGACAGAAATTGATGGTGATTAAGGACTCGGGCAAGAATCCAACTGACAATCTGAACAACCAGTCCCATTACATTTCTGAGGTTGGTTCCACAAGATTGTGCACAAAGTGCCTCCTTATACACAATGCAATGAAAGTTTTAAAGTAGACGTTTTAGCTGTTCTGACAAGAGTAAGGAATCCCCAGCATTTGCTGACCATGCTAGGTGCACTGTCTGTACACACTGACAAGATTATCCAACTATTTCTTTCTTGTTTACAAAGTTCATTGCCGTTTTAAGGATGTCTTTGCCCCATTTGATTTTTCATTGATAATATCTCAATCATTTCTTCATGCACAGCATTTCCATAAATATATCATCCCAGAATACACAACGTCACATGTGTCAGTTCATTTTCTTTGCACAAGACAAAATTAAGTAGCTGTACTCAAATTTTGCATTTGTTCCTTGTCTATTTGATGGGCCATTTTCACAGCTTGTCATGAAATGTTTTTCCCAATAATGGCATGTCTTGAATTTTCTGTAAGATTTTGTCCTTGTTGTGAAACTCAGTCATAGTTCATCACAATTTTTAGCATGCATCTCTTCACATAATCCCCGTCAGTGAAAAGCTTCCCCTCTCCAATAATGCTGCATGAGCCGGCAAAACTTGCAGAGTTTAAGCTCCCTTCTTTTTTTTGGACCATGCCAGCAGGCTATTTTGTCCAATGTTCATTTTTCGCTGCAGCAACTTTCAGGCTTTTTTTCATGCGTCACCCTCGGGGTATTTTGTAGCAAATGCAAGTTTTGTCATGAAATTCATTTTTTGTTTGTTTGACAACAGTCTCTCACTATAAATGAGACAGTGTGAAGATCCTATCCACAAATGCATACAAATCTGTTAACTTCTTTTGAAAATTTCAGTACTCATCTCTTTTTCTTCACCCTTTTTACTGTTGGGGGTTACAGAGGTCACCATTAGGTATGATGATGGAAACATTTCTTGACCAATCAAATAAAAAGAAAATATGCATGACCCTCAATGAGCGGAGAGGGTGGATGGTTGTTAAAATGAACAATTAAAGGATATTTGGTTCCATATTGAGCCATATTTGGCTCTAGAGCCATAGGCTGCAGACCCCTGATCTAGGATGCTTGGTCCTGCCATGAGGGCAGGGGACTGGATTTCATGACTCTCAAGGTTCCTTCCAGGTCTAGTATTTTATGATTCTATGAACATGTGGCCAGAGCAGTGTCCTAACTGGATCCAAACCATAGGAAATTACGTAGCCTTCTAAGTGTAATGTTTAAAGACAAAGCGCCACTGGAGGGACACACATGATGCAGCTGTTAACTTTGCAAGAATTTTCAGTCCTAGAGCCAAGCAGTTTAAATATATTTTTTGAATTGTGCTCCCCCCTCTCACAAAAATAGGGCTGAGTGGCACACTTTCAAGTGACGATCACACGTTTAAGAATTTTCTGCTGCCACTGCTTCCTTAAAACTTTGAAAGTTTATTTCAGGACAGAGAGGGTTTTGGAAACTACTTCAGTTGGTGAAGAAAGAATACTAGTCACTGGGAAAAGCAATTGGGATCAGCAGAGAATGTTGCCGTGCATAAAAGAAGACTAAAGAGAGGAATACAACTTAAAGAAAAACATTCACCCTGGACAGAAATAGTTCCCATCTCAATTAAGTAGGATGCAGAAAGTGAAAGTTATTTATGTAATGCAGATCTGGTTACAGCATGAGAGCAGATACAATCACCTGATTTCACTAATCTGTTTCTAGACATTTATGCGAAGATGATGAAAAGAGGCCTTGCGGAAAATATATATTTTTTCTTATAGTCTCAAAATACTTTAAACATTGATGCCATCTATCTATAGCCTAATGAGCTTTTCAAACTACCGAATTTTGCCTGCAAGTTAGTGAAAGTTACACTTTAGAAGTACTGCCGTTGCAGAGCAACACTTAGCATTTCAAAGTCAGTATGGATCAGAGCACCCTGGCTGGTGTTTAACTTAATGCTTTAATACAGGGGTGGGGAACCTTAGGCCTGGGGGTCGGACAGCCACTGGCTTGCCTGAACCCAGCCCCTGAGGGCTTAGCATGGGGAGCCTGCACTGGCTCTCCAGCCACCCACCTGCAGGGCTGGAGCACACAATCTACTAGCCTGGACCCCCCAGCCTCTGGCTTGTGAGGGGAGTGTCTTTCTCCTTCTCGGGGTCTTCTCACTTGTGTGCATCCTCCAACTGCTTTTCTGTAGGTCAGTGGCCCTTGACCCAAAAAATGTTCCCCATCCCTGCTTTAATATGAGCTTCAGAATCAGTCATAGCCACCGTCTTCCACCCTCAAGACTTTTACATGGAAATGCTTCTCCTAATAGCATTCTCATGGAGAGAGCCATGTGTTCTTTGTGTAATTCCAGATGGAAGGATCTTGTTTACCCTAGGTAGTTAAATCAATGTAATTTAATACAGCATAGCATATGGTGGTCCAAACAGATCAAAAGGAACAAAATATTTTGGCAAATGTGCCAGTCTCGTTATAAATTGAGCACTAGGTCTGCAACCACAACAAAATTAATAGACAGAGCCATGTGGCGAGCACAGGAAGTCTTAATACCACCTAATCACTGTAAGGGTTTTCAGATACACCTGCAGAGACCTGCATGGATACAAAATTTGTATCTGTACCCACATGGGTATCTGCAAATATATGGATGCTGATACCCATGGATATCCAAGGATTTACAGGGATCTAGATACAAAATTTGTATCTGCAAAAATGAGCTGCAGATATATATCCACATCCATATCTGTGGATGCAGATACCCCGGATATAAAGTGGGTATCCACGGATTTGCAGGGCTCTATACATCTGTATGAATCCAAATCAAAATATAAATGGATACAGTGATTCTCCATTGCTTGGTATGGTGTGTGCCTGGAGAAGGGGAGAGAGAAATGGGGAGTACTTTATATACAACACAGTCAACCTGTAGAGCTCCTGTCTAGGGGATGTTGTTGAAGGCCAGAAATATAACATGATTAAAAAGAAAATTAGATAAGTTCATGAAGAATAGGTCCATTAATGGACAGAAAGCCCCAAACCTCTGTCAGAAGCTGGGAATGGATGACAGGATGGATCACGTCACTGTTCTGTTCATTCTCTCTGACTAACACTATGTGGCATGCCTTACTTACCTGCAAAATGGAGATGTTACTGGCTTCCATTGAAAATACTGGATCTACTAGGAAAAAGTACTATATGAGAACTGGGTGTTATGAAGTTTATAGATTTGTCAAATTTGTTTTTACTTCTGGAAAGTTAAAAATATGGAAACATGATGTCTCCGAGACTAAACTCAGTTATTGTGAAACATCACTAATGCCACCAATACCTAAACTAATACAAGTGCTGAAGGAAATGGATCTTCTTGCTCTGATGAAGGTCTTATGGAGATACTAAAACCCTAAAACCGGCTCTTGGCAGATAACAGTACTTTTGTTCATCTTTGCTATATTTATGGGCATTTTGTCAGGTAGTGTATATGCACGTAAATATTGATGCCACATACTGTACCTCTGTCACTAAAGTCATCCACCAGGACAATTTCTGCTATCAACTCAGGAGGGGAGCGATTTAGGATGCTGTGCACTGTCCGGAGAAGAGATGACCACCCTTCATTGTGGAATGGGATTATCACGCTGGTGTTTGGGAGCTTCTCCAGGTACAGCTTGTTATTGCAGCTAGACAGGGATAAAGCAAGTTAGGAACATACCAAGTAAATAGACATCAGTTACCTTCCCACTAATGCTCACTTAATCCTCAACAACCTATGAAGCAGTTTCTGATGTACATCCTCAAGCTACATGTTAAGCACTCAGCAGTGAATTTTCTATACTTCTAGATTAATAACACAGATTAGAAATACTTGTCCATACTGTCATGTTACAAGTTTCAAAAGTGGCATTAACCATAATGCAGAACATTCTGAAGATACAGAACATCACATAGGGCCTGCCATCACCTGCCAAAGCTGCCTTTAGAAGAGATTCTCTTTACAGTTCAAAAGCGCAGACATCTATTGGCAACTCTCTGGTTGTTCTGCTTTTATTCCCATTGTCCAACAACCTTCAGAAGAGGAATTTCTCTAAAACTATTATTTCAAAAGGTGAGAGGCTCAGTTCTGCTGTCCTAAGTACAATGCTTATTTTAGTTACCAGTCTGAAAGAGAGGCTTAAACAGGACTACCCAATAACTATGTTCTTTTAATATTCATCCATCTAAAACTTAAGTATTTCAGCTGGATGCAGGTTTTATCTAGCTAGTTGCCTTAAGATTTTTAAAAAGTAATGTCTATTTACTTGGGCTAGTTACACCCTAGAGCCCCAATTCTGCAAACTCATCTGCCATGTAGGAGGACACCCACTTCCTCACTAATAAGGGGACAGCTTACACTGGAAGAAACTGATTACACAAGTATTTCCATGGAGGTGGCCGTATAATCTCCCAACTCATCCATGCACAGTATTTATTATCCCGATAATCAAAGCAAGCACCCTTGATCTACAGGCATATTCCATGGAGTTGGATGTGCGCTTCCAAAGCCTCATAGAATCTGTTTAGCCAGCCTCTCAATCAGAACATTTTTCTACTGTTGCCAGGTCTTGTATTTAATAAGGGGTCTTACAGAGAAAAGTGGACATCATATTCCACATTCTTTATGAAAATATCATGATATGAATATACCCTAACCGACATATGCTTGATGCAGGATCATTCATGTAAGATCAGTGGAAAAGTTATAATTTACTGAAAGTAATTATCCAACTTGTATGTGTATCATTTTTGTATCTGAAGGTAGGAATATTGACTGGTGTATCTGTATTTCACCTTTGCTACTTTCGGTGACTCTCACTGCTTACACTTCAGGTACTACAATGGACAATCCAAAGGCAGCTGATGGCTCAACAAAAACCATGGACTGTGAAAAGGCGTGGCCTTCCTTGGACTGTCCATACTGCTTCTGACTGACACTGGAAGGTGGCAGTCAGGTGATCTGGTCATTTGATACTAACCACCACTTGGTCCGTTGTACTGAGCAGTGGAGAATTAAAGGATTCCTGCCTTATGGAAATTCTATACAAGACTGGGGAGAAAAACAAGGCTTCCCCTGTGCCTCCGCACCCTAAAGAGATACTCAAACACCTGGAACCCAAAGAACTATAGCTGAAGGCGAGGGGAAAACTGCTGGACCTAGGCTAGACCACCACCTTTGGCCTGTGAAGGACTCTACTTAAATCAATATCTAAGGAATTATTGTTTGTAACCAGTGTATTTAGTGAATCTAGTTTAGTTTGCAATCTTTGTATTTTCTTAGTTCTGATTCCTACCTCACTAATTACTTACACTACACATTTTGATAGCTAATAAACTTATTTCTGGTTTAACATACAGCCCTGTTTATGTAATTTTTAACCTGGGGGGGAGGAGAGGGAGGAAGTTCGGCACACCTTCTTCCACATTGAGAGGGAAGCAAATTTCACATAATTTTGGGTTTGTATTCCAGAGGGGGTGGACATCTGGGTGCTGATGTAAGCCCCTTAAGATGAGCCATTCCAGAGATGACCTCAGTCTTTGTGTCATTCTGCAGCTGGTGTGACCCTGCCTGTACGTCTGCTGGAGAAAGTTTAAGAGCCCAGCTCAGCGAGACAAGGATAAAGCGTGCCCAAGTTGGCAGAAAAGATGGGCTTAGTGGAATCTTCAGCACACCAGGTGATATCCCACAGGGCCCAAGACTTTACACTAGTTCTCCACTGCCCTAGGTTTTCAGCTGGGATGATTAATATGTCAATCAGGACAAAATCTGCTCTTCTTAGAAGTAACATGGTATCATATCTAACCCTACTGGCAAAACAAGATCTCATCTGAAAAACCTCATGTGCTAAACTGTACTGCAACCCAAAGTCAAAAGGATGCAAAGCTGAGTCAAAGACATCTATGTGCTGAGGCTAGCTAAGAGCAAAGCCCTTACCACAGATGTGTAGACTAGCAATCTAAAATTGCACATCTTTCTCATGCAGCTTTGAGTCTGGGTGGAGGGAGGGGCTATTTCCAACAACACTTTTGAGGATGGCATCAATATATTTATCTTTAAACCTTCATTAAGCAGACTCATTTGCAGCAACTCATAGTACAACATGGTAGCACAAAATGTCACATTTCTCACAAATGCATGCAGCAAAGAACGTTCAAAATTGCTGGAATGTCAGCATTAAGTCAGAGGGACACACATATGGTTTTGCTGTAGACAGAGATAGCACAGAATGCCAGCCTTGCACAGAGACTTTGTGGGTAAGGATGTTAAGGAGCAAGTATTTACAAATTGTATCAACTACACAATTAGTCGATAAGAGGAGGTACTATGTAGAACCACAGCGAGGGTAGCTCCAGGAGCTGGCAGGAGCTGGCTCCGGGACTGCTGTGGCTCTGCATTTTAAATTTAGTAAGAGCCACTGGGCTTTTACTACATTTAAAATGCAGAGCTGTGGCGCAGGTGGCTCCCAGACCAAAGTGTGAGCTGGGACTGAACAGTTCCCAGTGCCAGTGTGAGCCGGATCGCTGTGGCTTTGCCTTTTAAATGTAATAAAAGCTGGCTGTCTCTTACTACGTTTAAAATGCAGAGGTGCAGCGGTCCTGGACTGGCATGAGCCAGGGCTGCTCAGTCCCGGTTCACATCAGGTCCAGCAGCCCATCCACACCGCCACGAACAGGGGCTGCTGCTGGAGCAACCTCAGGCTGCTGCAGGCAGAGGCTGCTTCACAGCACACTTTCCTACCTCTGATACAGGCAGCAGCAGGGGGTGGGAGGGAGAGACAGCACCAAGGAGATGGTGCTGGGGTGAACCAGCTTTTAAGCTGGCTCCCCCCAGCACCAGCTCCTGTTCCCCCCCCCTCCTTTGCTGCCTCTGGGTGGGGGAGGAAGCGAGTACTCGACTACTCACATCCCTATTTATGGGATGCTTAAGAAAAGAGTCAGGGAGAAATAAGGGAAGTTGTTTGGATCTCTCTCTTCGCATGCTGCACAGAAATGACGCCCTCTGCCCCCTCCCTTCCTATGTATGATCAAGAACAGGGTTTAAGCTCTCCTACATTTTGCTCTGATCCCCACCCCGCAAATAGGGAGAAAAGGAGGATTGGCTCTAGGACAGCTGCTCTCCTATGCCTCTAAGGCTCTTAATTACCTGGCCGGGTATGGGACTGGATCTCCTTCCTGGGATCCTCAGCTGCATTCCCTCTTCCCTCCTCTGCTGCTACTGCCTCCTTCCACTGCAGCTTCTTCTCCTGCATGGACTGTGCAGCGAGGGTTGAATAGGAAGCAAGCAACTCTGAGAGTTAGAGGTTTTGAGGGCACTGGATTCATCACTCAAGTCTCAGGTAGCATGTTCCATTTTGTCCCTTGTCAACCCATGTGGTAACTAGAGTGCACTAGCTGGGTCCACACAGGGCAGAGTGCAACATACACCCTGTAACTTGGGCGGCGAATCCAGCAGTGCTCCAAACCATTGAAAAGTCACTGTGGCTTACCTCCTGTCAGATCCTTACTATTGCAGTCTGAGCACGAACCACAGTGAAGAAGAATGTCACATACCACCACCACAAACCACAGCACTATTTGATGAGCGACACACACAAATATGAGTGTGAGAGAGAAAGAGAGAGTGTGCTTGCAAAATTAGCACACTGAACCCTAAATTAATAATTTTGTAGTTATAAAGCAAAAATTGGGAGGATAATGGAAAATTAGGGACGGCTGGCATTTTTGCAATCTCAATGTAACTGAAAAATTGAGCAATTCATGCTTAATTCTCATCTACTGCATAATCCAGTGTCTTGTCTTATTTAACATAGACAGTGTCAAGCAATCACTACAAAGCCCAATATGGAAGGTCTGCATTTACTTCAATCACTGAAATCACTTGTAAAACTCATGCTTGAGTCTAGTAAAAATCTTCTACTGTGACAGCTCATTCAAGATAAACCACTAACTCTACTACTGTAGAAGATTTATTCTATGACTGCAATTTGATGATCAAGAGTACATTTCGTGGCATTAGGAAAACATCTGTTGGCCATTTGTTCACTGTTAAATCTGCTTGTTATTGGAAGAGAAAAAGTGAAGACTACATATCAACTACCTCCAATTTTTTTTAAAACAAGAGCTTTGCTGACCATGCAGACACACAAGACTACAAATGGTTTATTTGAAATCATAAGTGGTGCAGCTTCATTAAAATCTTTTACTCATCCTCTCTAGCTACACTAGAACAGAGTCAACACAGAAGTACTAGCAGCCACAAACAGCTGCGAAACAGCAGATGAAAAAAATACAGTGGGAAGTTACAATGAGGCAGAATAAAGCTATTTAGTCTGAAAGGTTATAAATGGGAGGGGCTGTGGATAATCTGTGCCATTTTTAACTGCTATCACTGTTAAGTTTGCAAACAAATTTATTCTCTCCTGTTTGTACAAATCACTTTAAAAGCTCTTAGATTACTGTGCAATATATCAAAATATCTACTTCACATACTGTTTACAAAACCCAAGAAAAATGAACTATAGAAGCAGAAAGTTATACCTTACTGGCGATCAAGGTGATCTAGCACTCTGTACTAGAGCATCTATGTTTAAAAGGCCAACAAGCAGTATCTGGTGAGAATATTAAATCTACACCCATCTGCTTAGCCATGGTGCCTAACCAATTCCGAAGCAGTAGCCATTATACAAACTAGCCACGCTCAACCAGTCAAATAGGTACATTGTTCAAGCCAACTAGCCACACTCAAGCAGCCAAACAGCCACATGTGGCTAGTGGCTAGCGTGTTGGACTCCACGGGCTTAGAGCATATTCCTGAATAGAAAACCAATTTCAGATCCTCTTCCAGGAATGAATGGGGTGGGTGAATTCAGAATATTTTACAACATGCCCAGTTCTTTGTTAAAATACTCTTTATAGACTTCATCTTACGCAAACTTCATTATATCTTATCACACCACTATAATACAATAAATACTCCATTTCTAAAAACATCTTTTAATGAGGGGAGAAGGCATACCAAAAACTTTTGATCATTAGTGCCTTTACTTCAAATCTCATGTACATAGAAACCCGTTCATTCCTCTAACTAATCCTTCAATCAATTATATTCAACATGGTTTATTCTCTTCTTGAGACCCCATAATAATTATAACTTTCTATGGTAAGGGAAGTTTCACTCAAGGAACACCATGCATTGGCATTATTAGTCACATCTTAAATTACTGGTGAACCAGACACGTTACTTATTAATTTTAACTAGGGACCAGACTCTGAATGTAGACGTTAAAAAAAAAAAAAAAAAAAAAATCAAAGTAGCAGAATTAGCAATCAAGCCAACAACTCCACGAAACATTAGAGAACATGAGCCAATTTATTAATTCTTGAGGTTAAGGGAGACTGGAACCATCTGAAGCCTACATTCTCAAAGCCGTAAACAATCCAAACGAATACAGTTTAGTAGAGTGGAAGTTGCCTGAAGCTCAGTTATGCTCCTAATGAGATATCAAAGCTGAGACAGAAAAAGAAAAAAAAAATTTTTTTTAAAAGGTCGTAGCTTCTAATTTGTTTGTAAAACTTCTAGATGAAATTACTGACATCAGGGTTGAAAAAAAACTTTCCTTGGAAGAAATTTGCATCCAAGCACATTAAAAAAAAAAAGATAGGTTCATAAAATGGCTAAGAACCAAATATCACCCATAAGATAAAGCACTCTGTGGCATTGTTTAGAAACGGCTTACATTTTCGAGCCTTTCATGACCACATGAACATGAAGGATTTTCTCCTTAGCAATTAGAGAAAAACAAAGTCAAATTTGACGCCACTCCAAGACAAAGACATTCTAATTAGCTGAATTCAAGAGTCAGTCATTTCTGACTGGAGCTATTTTGTGGCCAGGCATATAATCCCTAAAAAGAAGTCCTGAGTATCTGAAGAAATTCATTTCATAGACCATTTACAATGCTAGTCATCTCTTTTTGGAATGCTCCAAAATTTTCCCTCCTAGAGGTTTCAAGATTGTGAAACTTTGTTTGTGACAGACTTCCAAAAGGAATTAACGGCTGAAAGAATTGTACAGCCTCACATCCAACCGATCACTTTTGCAAAACTAGCTGAGTTAATCTGTAACAAAGTCAGTGCCATCTGATGGTTCTTTGGTGCAGTTCTCAAGTGAGCTAGACATTTAAATCCATTTTACAGTAGAGAGATAACTATAAACATTTTATTTTAAATTGTGCTATGGCTGAGGCCATTTCAGTACCCAAGAAGTTAATCAGCATGAAAAGTAAACTATGAGGCAGGAAGTAGTCATTTCCCCGAAAGGACTGAGGCTCATTGGGAAGTGCCAGTTTGGAGAAATCTTTGTTCCATCTGCTCACATGACACTTATTTTCCAGCTAAATGTAGGTTTTCAGGCAGCGTTCCTCAAACACATTTTTGTGTGTGCACCTATTTTTATGCTAATTAGTGTACAGTGTATTATGAAGACACCTGAGTCAATAGGTTCCAAGCTTTGGAAGCCTCACATTTGAAGGCCAGATTGCAACATAATAAAACCCAGAAATAGAATAAAGTCTATTGGGAATGGCAAATTAGGGCATCTATACTTTCACTAAGAGATTCAATGGGTATACTCACTTTGGGTGCCTGATATCAGGGAGGGAGCGATTAAGAGAAATTTTATCGCTAACAAAGATATTAAAGCCATTTTCCCTGTATGCTTGGTCCACTTGCTCTGCATCAGTCATCGGGTAAGGTTTCCCCTGTTCTCCATTTCCTACAAACAGATACAAAATAAACCTGAATCATTATGGCCGATCATAGCCAAAGTGGCCAGAGTTTTCTTTGAAAAATTTTCCCTCGACAACATTTTTTGTTCATAATCCAATACTCTGCATTCTAAGAAATTCTTAGCACTGGGTTAACTTCAATTTATTTTAACAAGTACAATAGATTTTGCCACTAACACACTACTCAGCTGTGCAAATATGAAGTAGCAAGTTCTTCACTCTGAAGCCAGAATTAAAGGGACCAGAGACTAGTAGGGCCAAAAGTTTCTGCTGGTTTACAGATGTGAGCACATGTACATTGTACAAACACTTATCTCAGCCTCATCCTAAACCAGGCACTGACATTTTTAAATGGATATCTTGGCAAAGGTTTGTTAAGGTAAGTGAGGCAACCTTAACAGTTTCACGTGTTCATCAATGTACTTCACACTTATGTTAGAAATTAAGCATTCTGAATTGGGTATCAAACTATGGAACAGAACAGATTCCTCTAGATGACAGTGCTTGCAGATTTTATAAAACAATGGCTCTCCTTTCATGGGTCTACAATATTTGTCAGCATTGTAATGGTACTGTGGCAGGGCGTTGCCCTGCACTGGCCCTTTAAGGGGCTGGGAGACTTGGAGTCTGGGGAAGCCCAGGTGAGGGCAACTAAGGATGGCCCAGCTGGAACTTATAAGAGCAGCTCCTGGGAGGAGGAGAGGGTTCTGCCTGTCTGCCCTTGTCACAGGGCCCCAGGCTTTGGGCCCAGCAAACCCAGACTACCCGGCCTGAGGCTCAGTGCTGCATGGAGGCAGTCATGAAGGGCAGGGGCTTGCATGGAGGCAGCCCTAAAAGGCTGGGCTGCAGGGAGGCAGCCATGGTTCGCACGGAGACAGCTGCGGTAGGCTGGGGGCACTCAAGCCAGGGAAGCCCTAGGCCAAATGCAGCGGTGCAGGAGGGAACCGGGCAGACCGAGGAACCAGGTGTTCCAGGAAGGAACTGAGTGCTCCTGGGAAGAGGTAGGGGTCCCCAGGAGTAAGGAGGACCCTGGGAATACCGGAAGAAGAGTGACTCCCACCTGGAAGGGGGCGTGGATGAACAGCGGAGTGGTCACTAGACCTGAAGAGGACACCTCACCCAAAGAGGATGCGTTGGCGTCGGAGAGGCGGGTGACTTCCCCACAAGCCACCCTGAGGGAGTCATCCGGGCAAAAAAGTGAGAAGCCGTGCAAAAAGTGAGTGAACCCGCTACAGTACCTATAATTTTTTTCAATAGTACCAACCCTCAAAGTGCCCATAAACTGCCACCATCTTTCTACTCAAGAGACTGATGAAAATGGTCTTTATTCACAATCACTCCTGAGTGGTATAGATGTTGAGCTGCATTAAGAACATTTGAGCATGCTCTTCCACTATGTTCAGTCTGCTGAATAAGAGACCACATTATATACATTTATAAGTGATCTTACATACCTATGCGTTCCAAGTCTCTCCTTATAGCTTCTTTATCGTGCCAGTCCTTTTTCTTTTGTCCATCAAAGTAAATTTCTTTCTTTTGCCTCACATGTGAGACCTTTTAACAAACAAAAGATTAGAACATTACACCTCAAACACATTTACACATCCACGCCAAAATGAAGAGCAAATATCCTACTTCTCCTTGCCCAAACCAAAACTTCAAGAGGCAACTTTTATTTGCAGTTCTTTTAAACCCATAAGGCTGAGTCCAGCAGAAGATTTCATATATGAGAAAAAAGTTACTTATCAAGTGTTAATGAGGCTAATCAAGTCAAGGTGGATGTGTCTCATTCATTGCAACTGACGGGAAGATGTGAATATCAAGATTGGGGAAGTTGCCTTTAGAGTGCGTTAACCAACTCAAATCTTTATTCAGGCCTAATTGGATTATATTACATTTGCAAATGAATTGCAGTTCAGCTGTTTCCCTTTGTAATAATTTTGAAGTTCTTTTGTAGAAGGATGACTACTTTCAATGGGCGGTTGCTGCAGCTAGGGTTAGGCAGGCATCCACCTACAGCCTGCCCCCTCTGCTGAGACCCCAACCCCCATGGGGAGGGGAGGAGGCAGGGCAGCTTTCTGAGTGAGGCCCCCAGGAGCAGAGGAGACAGGGCAGCAAACTGAGCACACCCCACCTCCCTGGAGCAGTGAGGGAGGGGACAAAAGATGAGGGAGTGTGCGCGCATGGTGGTGGAAGGGAAGCGAGGCAAGGGAGCACCTGTGCACAGCGAAGCTCCCCCCATCTTCCTGGAGCACTGGGAGAAGGGAAGAGGCTTTGCTGCGCGGCTCCCAGAGCACTGGGGAGGGAGGAGGCCATGTGGTTCCAGCCTGGAGCACCAGGATGACGGGTGCTGGGGACAGCAACACTCCGCTCCAGAATGCCTACAGCAGGCAGTCTGAGGGCAGAGTGTGGGTGGGGCCAGGCTGGCAGTTTGGGAAAGCAACGCCTCCCCTTGCCTAAGCCACCGGATGCCCATGGCTACTTTTAAATCCATTACTGAATGTCCAGTGTTCCCCTACTGGTTTTTGTAGGTTACCTTTCTTTGTGCGGATGTGGTTAGGTCTTGTGATGTCACTTGTAGAGATATGTAGAGTGTGGCAATGGGGTTTGTTTCTGTGTGGTAGGGTGTTTAGTGCTGGTGAGTATTTGCTTCAGGTTAGGGGGCTGCCTGTAAGCAAAGACTGGTCTATGTCTAAGGTCTGTGGGAGTGAGGGATCATTTGAGCGATCCTTTCCCAGGATAGGTTGTAGATGGTCAGTGATGCGCTGGAGGGGTTTTAGCTGGAGTCTGTAGGTGATAACCAGTGATATTCTGTTATTTTCTTTGTTGGGTTTGTCCTGAAGTAGGTGATTTTTGGACACTTGTCTGGCTCTGTCAATCTGCTTCTTCACTTCCCTAGTGAAAAGATCTGGTAGGTGTTTGTGTCTGCCTGAGGGACTGAAGCAGGGTACGGTTATATCTCAGGGCTTGATTGTAGACAATGATCATGTGATGTGTCTTGGACAGATAGAAAAGAACATGCTACTGTCCATTCAGCTCATTAGGGAAGGCTGCTGCACTTGCGGAGATGTGAAAACGAGGAGTTAAAATACTTTGTGGGACACGCCAGTTCATTTAACTCACGACTGACAGAATTTAGTATTGCGAAATGAGCTGTAGCTCAGACATTTCTACAGTCTCTCTCAATACAGGTCAACAGCTACATTCTTCACGGACAAATCCTAGGTGTTCTTTATAAACAAGTGGCAGATAACATGAGGTGAAGGTCAGACAGAAGCAGTAAAAGTTAGGGTAGCTCAGTTCTTTCTGGAGCAGAAGTCTGAATGAGTTTTCTGCATGACTAAGTATACTTTGTTGTTGTGCCACAATTGCCAAAACAGTTTATCCTGTCTACCAGATTTACGTCCAGTTTTTCCAGACCATATGCCACCAATCATCAAACATCAAGCAGTCTTTCCAAGGCTAAACAATGCAAGGTTCTTTTCAAAATGCACTATAATGTCAGAAGATTTTTATTCTCTTAGCAGTCTGTTTTAAAAAAAGCCTTGTCGGCTCGCTAACCTCTCCCTATTTGTCAGGGTGTTTTACCTGTTCAATAGAAGTCATGGGAAGCCTTGGCAAATAGAAAAGTTTCTTTGCCAAGTGAGGTGTTGGGTTTTGCTGAGTGGTATAGATGTTGAGCTGCATTAAGAACATTTGAGCATGCTCTTCCACTATGTTCAGTCTGCTGAATAAGAGACCACATTATATACATTTATAAGTGATCTTACATACCTATGCGTTCCAAGTCTCTCCTTATAGCTTCTTTATCGTGCCAGTCCTTTTTCTTTTGTCCATCAAAGTAAATTTCTTTCTTTTGCCTCACATGTGAGACCTTTTAACAAACAAAAGATTAGAACATTACACCTCAAACACATTTACACATCCACGCCAAAATGAAGAGCAAATATCCTACTTCTCCTTGCCCAAACCAAAACTTCAAGAGGCAACTTTTATTTGCAGTTCTTTTAAACCCATAAGGCTGAGTCCAGCAGAAGATTTCATATATGAGAAAAAAGTTACTTATCAAGTGTTAATGAGGCTAATCAAGTCAAGGTGGATGTGTCTCATTCATTGCAACTGACGGGAAGATGTGAATATCAAGATTGGGGAAGTTGCCTTTAGAGTGCGTTAACCAACTCAAATCTTTATTCAGGCCTAATTGGATTATATTACATTTGCAAATGAATTGCAGTTCAGCTGTTTCCCTTTGTAATAATTTTGAAGTTCTTTTGTAGAAGGATGACTACTTTCAATGGGCGGTTGCTGCAGCTAGGGTTAGGCAGGCATCCACCTACAGCCTGCCCCCTCTGCTGAGACCCCAACCCCCATGGGGAGGGGAGGAGGCAGGGCAGCTTTCTGAGTGAGGCCCCCAGGAGCAGAGGAGACAGGGCAGCAAACTGAGCACACCCCACCTCCCTGGAGCAGTGAGGGAGGGGACAAGAGATGAGGGAGTGTGCGCGCATGGTGGTGGAGGGGAAGCGAGGCAAGGGAGCACCTGTGCACAGCGAAGCTCCCCCCATCTCCCTGGAGCACTGGGAGAAGGGAAGAGGCTTTGCTGCGCGGCTCCCAGAGCACTGGGGAGGGAGGAGGCCATGTGGTCCCAGGAAGGAGCACCAGGATGACGGGTGCTGGGGACAGCAACACTCCGCTCCAGAATGCCTACAGCAGGCAGTCTGAGGGCAGAGTGTGGGTGGGGCCAGGCTGGCAGTTTGGGAAAGCAACGCCTCCCCTTGCCTAAGCCACCGGATGCCCATGGCTACTTTTAAATCCATTACTGAATGTCCAGTGTTCCCCTACTGGTTTTTGTAGGTTACCTTTCTTTGTGTCAAAGGATAAATGGACACAGATCAGACATTGAGACTGTCCAATCTGGACAAAATACACAGCAGAGCGGATGTGGTTAGGTCTTGTGATGTCACTTGTAGAGATATGTAGAGTGTGGCAATGGGGTTTGTTTCTGTGTGGTAGGGTGTTTAGTGCTGGTGAGTATTTGCTTCAGGTTAGGGGGCTGCCTGTAAGCAAAGACTGGTCTATGTCTAAGGTCTGTGGGAGTGAGGGATCATTTGAGCGATCCTTTCCCAGGATAGGTTGTAGATGGTCAGTGATGCGCTGGAGGGGTTTTAGCTGGAGTCTGTAGGTGATAACCAGTGATATTCTGTTATTTTCTTTGTTGGGAAGGATAAATGGACACAGATCAGACATTGAGACTGTCCAATCTGGACAAAATACACAGCAGAGGGGCATTACTGGCATATATGCTCTGTCAATCTGCTTCTTCACTTCCCTAGTGAAAAGATCTGGTAGGTGTTTGTGTCTGCCTGAGGGACTGAAGCAGGGTACGGTTATATCTCAGGCTTGATTGTAGACAATGATCATGTGATGTGTCTTGGACAGATGGAAAAGAACATGCTACTGTCCATTCAGCTCATTAGGGAAGGCTGCTGCACTTGCGGAGATGTGAAAACGAGGAGTTAAAATACTTTGTGGGACACTCCAGTTCATTTAACTCACGACTGACAGAATTTAGTATTGCGAAATGAGCTGTAGCTCAGACATTTCTACAGTCTCTCTCAATACAGGTCAACAGCTACATTCTTCACGGACAAATCCTAGGTGTTCTTTATAAACAAGTGGCAGATAACATGAGGTGAAGGTCAGACAGAAGCAGTAAAAGTTAGGGTAGCTCAGTTCTTTCTGGAGCAGAAGTCTGAATGAGTTTTCTGCATGACTAAGTATACTTTGTTGTTGTGCCACAATTGCCAAAACAGTTTATCCTGTCTACCAGATTTACGTCCAGTTTTTCCAGACCATATGCCACCAATCATCAAACATCAAGCAGTCTTTCCAAGGCTAAACAATGCAAGGTTCTTTTCAAAATGCACTATAATGTCAGAAGATTTTTATTCTCTTAGCAGTCTGTTTTAAAAAAAGCCTTGTCGGCTCGCTAACCTCTCCCTATTTGTCAGGGTGTTTTACCTGTTCAATAGAAGTCATGGGAAGCCTTGGCAAATAGAAAAGTTTCTTTGCCAAGTGAGGTGTTGGGTTTTGAACACTGCTATGCATGTTAACAAACACGAATACTGCATTGGGTACTACAGCAACTTGCCAAGTACAAACCAACTTGTCAGTAACCTCTGTGGCCCCGTTTATAAAGCTCTTGGCTTACACAGCATGGCAGAGAACCACGCTTACTTGAGCCATTTTACTGTTTGCTGTGATTTGATACCCACTACAGAAGCATCACTGAAATTCAATCCAGAAATTGTATCTACTCACATGTTATAACTTAATACAATGAAGATTACATTTCTAGATATACAAGGGTCCAGTTAGTTTCATACCAGCATTGTCAAAGGAGGAGAGAGAATAACATGGGACTACTTGTCCTCCACCTTCTCCCCAATCCCTTTTTGTTTCTTCCACCTAACAGCAATACCTGGTAAAACTATAATGTCAGAGCGGAGTTGCACAAAAAGGGCAAATGTTTATCTGCTTTGGACACACACAACTCTTTATAAAAGCAATTGAAAATCTCAAATACAAGGCTGATACAGAATGATCTAATAGCATATACTATTTTAGATCTTGGTCTCAGATCTGCACAAATTACATTATTCACTCCCAGACAGGAGTACTCCATTATATTTCACTGAATTCAGATAAATGTTACCAAATATTTTCTTCAGTTGTGACACTTACAAGCAACCACCATTTTCACAGGTTTTGCAGGTATCCTATTGAGAGTCCCTGGCAAGAATGTTATCAACATTAGCAGTGTCTAATGAATGTGGCTAGGTCTACACTACAAAGAAAAGCAGGAAAAAGATATGCAAATTGCTAACTGCAATTTGCCTATTTTTTCCGCTTTTCTTTCAAAAGAGGCTTTTCCAAATTTGGCCCGCCTCCACAGGGCCAAATTTTGGAAAAAGCTCCTCTTTCGACATCCCTTCTCTTTCATACAATTAAGATTACAGGTATGGCAAAAGAACACATCCACTTTTTTGGAAATTGTTCAAAAAAGTGAACACGTTCCTTGGATATGGCGTAGCTTTTCTGGGATATCTCCAGTATCCCGGAAAAACTCTGCAGTCTAGACATAGCCCGTTAGTTTGAAGGCTACTGGTATTTCTTGACTAATTCCAGTAGTCAGCCTCATTAAAGTAGTCTGCTTCAGTTTCAGTGAAACTTCTCAGCATTCACAAGGCTCACATGCTCAAAATACACTAGGATCCTGGCATCAGACAAACTACATAAGTCTGCTGAAGCTGAGTCACCAAAGTCTGGGACATTTTTTTCTTCTTCTGTGTACTGCACTGTTGTGAAATGTATCAGTAAATGCTACCCAAACAAGGAAAACTCCTTTTATTATACGATCTCCCTCCTCCTCATACTACAAGTCTTATGCTTATGAAATGCAATTAATAGTAGCACATGGTGTAGGACTACAGACTTCCTGTCACTGATTTCAGGGGTGCATGTGAAACTATCAATATATTAAGAGGAACAATCAGGCTGCTGGGGCCATTTAAGTATTGTTGGACACTGATGTTATTTTGCCAAATATATATTTTTATTCATCTTTAACACTTTTTATAAAGAGCATTTGAGCTTCAGAAATCTAACACACAACTGAGGATCAGACTATGCACCTTTTAAATTGCATTCATCAGGCATGCTGTTTGGAATTTATCTTTAAGTACATGTTGAATCTCTCTGGTCCGGGACTTTGATCCGGCAACATCGACCATGATGCTGCTGGGCCAGAGAGCTGTTGGCTGGAGTCCAGCAAGGGGCCAGCAGTGGAGCCCAGCTGGCTGCCTGGCAGGGTCCAGGAGCACAGCCTGGCCAGACCCTGCAGTCCCTGGGCAGGTAGCACAGCCAGGTCGGCAGTCGGTGAGGAGCAGGGCAACAACCAGGAGGGAAGCTAGCCAAGAGGCCAGCACTCCTGAGTGAGCCCTCATCTCCCCTGATCCAGCAAACTCCCTTGTCCAGGACCCCAAGGTGCCAGACCAGGGAGGTCTAAACTGTAGCAAGATATGGAAATTCAGTAGTCTGATAATTTCATAAGTCAAAAATCTAGACTAAGTACGAGCATGCTGCAATACATAGGCAAATCCTTGAGAGTGAGTTCATTTCTAAATATTAAACAAATGCCCTTGCGGATATACGTTCATTCCTTAATACTACTTAACTGGAAGTTTCTTGTGTTAGGTCACCATTATTATGTACTTCAGCTACACATCAAAAGGCACTGCCCTATTTTGTCCAAGAGAATAAATATGACTGTGCCTTACTGTTGTTTAAGAAATATATTTTTTAGTTTAGAAATGTAGAGGACATTTTTGATACCTGTATTTACAGAATCTGTATATGCAGGATAAGTAGATAAATATTTTATAGATGAGGGGGGTTAACTATACAAAGTATAACTGCAAATTTAATTGTTTAGATAAGGTCTATGTAACGTTGTAAATTTGTGTTTTGCAAAAAAAAGAAACAGAGCAAAATTTTATATATATGTATGTATGTATTTATTTGAAGTCAGCTAGAGAGAAATTAAACATTTTATAGATCTCTAGGCTGGAAAGGACCATCTAGTCTAACCTTCCACATAACGGACAAAATTTCCCCCAGTAATTCCTGCAGCAAACCCATAACTTCTGGTTTGCCTAAAGCATATTTTCCTTTCCTAAAAAATGAAGTGTACTACTAAGAAGTGATTATTTTTGTAGCTGTGTGTTAAACTAAACTAATCTCCTTTCTCTTTGTTTCCATCCTTCATTTTTAGTAAAAATGAATTAAAGTAGAAAGGCATATTAAGCAATCCACTAA